ATCTGGATGAGAGAGAAGATGCATTACTAATCTAGAATCGGGGCTTCAGAAGGTCAAGATGGTGTTTCTTGAGATTTGAAGGATGGGGTTGTATTAGAAAGCCCTTCAGTTGCCTTTTATTTTCAAAGTTCCTTTAGCATTACTAATCTAGAATCGGGGCTTCAGAAGGTCAAGATGGTGTTTCTTGAGATTTGAAGGATGGGGTTGTATTAGAAAGCCCTTCAGTTGCCTTTTATTTTCAAAGGAAATGATCCTGGTCTTAATTAGCTAGATCTCGGTCTTCCTTTCTGTTTCCAGCCATTATGAGTAAGTGCACGTTGGCTTACTTGGGAGGTAGAAATTCAATAGTCTAGCGTTACTGGGAAGTCTTCACCTGTTGGGTGTTTTTCTCTCCCCTCCCCTTCCTGCGATGAAGCTGCCAAAAAGGCACACGCAGCCTCTTCAGAGAGGAGCGGAAAAGGTTGGTGGGCTGGCGGCGTCCGGGCAGCCTGTACTCAAACATCTTAATTGCCACCAAAGAGAAATGAAGAAAAGTGAAGTGGCTTCCAAGGAGATATTAGAAAATCCGAGCTGAAAATGAGAATGATTTAATGTCAAATGAGACAAAATGCCGAGCTGATACTCCATTGCCTCCCGCTTCCACTTGTCCTTGGCAGTGAGAAAATGAGATTTTTAATATCGGAAAAACAGATTGCCACGAAGGCTCATCCATTGTAAATTTGAGCTGCCTTTTCAGAATGGCTTTTAAGGCGAGGATTGGATTCTTCATCCTGTTCTACTGTGGTTGCCATGATTTTCATACTAATCTGTAATTCCACCCCCCCTTTCCCCCTGCAACGCTTTTGACTTGACTGTGCCAAAAACCCAAAGCGTAACTTTCCCTTTTTCTTTGGCCTCTGCCTTTCCCCCTCTCCCGCCCTCCCCTTAAACAAGTTAATTTCATTAATGAATAATGCCGTCAGGACAAAGGTTTGTCAGCGTTAACCTCTGTGTTAGTTATAGAGATTAATGATGCTTGCTGCCCTAGCTAGTTAATGCTAGAAAGGATGGTTTAGTTACTGAAACGTCAGTCGGAAAAACCCAAGGCTGGGCATTTATGGAATCCAGCAATATCAGAGCGTCTAGAAGCCCACATGGGTAGGATCCGTCTGGCGTGTCGGCCTGAAAACAAATGATGTGATAAGTCTGATGATGCTGATTCAAACAACAACAGCAGCAGCAACAACCACCACCGTTGAACTGCAGAACTGGAATGGAGCCTATGGATCATTGGGTCCAGCGCCTCTCAAGGAGGCCCAGTGTGGGAATTGAACTCTTCACAGCCAGAGATTTTAAGCCACGGAGCTATCCGGGAGTTCTATTTGGACAATCGGAGACTGGAAACCAAGTCCTAGGAAGAAAGGCTGAGAGAACACAGCCTGTTTAGCCTTGAGGAAAGAAGACTCAGGGGAGATAGTATTGCACTTTTCAAATACTGTACTTGAAAGGTAGCCATAGACAGAAGGAGCAGGATCTGCACTTGATCAAAAACCAGAGTGCAGGACACACAACAATGGGCTCAAGTTAGAGGAAGCCAGATTTCAGCTGAATATCAGGAGAAACTTCCTGACTGTTAGAGCAGTACGACAGTGGAACCAGTGACCTTGGGAGTTGGTGAGCGCTCCAACCCTGGAGGCATCCAAGAGAAAATTGGACAACTGTTTGTTAGGTCTCCTTTGATTTAGATCCTTGCATTGAGGAGGGGGGTTTGGACTTGAGGGCCTTAGAAGCCCCTTCCCACTCAATGATTCTATGATAGGTTAAAATTCAGAGGTCGGGAGTGGAATGGTCCTTATTAGACTAAAACTCCAAGAATCCCTCAACCAGTTGGGTTTATATTGTTCTTAAAAAACTCAGGTGATACAGTAAGTCTACAACTGAATTACAGATGTCTATATCTTGTACCATATGCAGAAAAAAAAATCTGTTCTTCAAAACAGGGAGTGGATTCAGGCCATTACTGGTTTTTGTTTTCTGGCATTTTGGACACTTCATTTGGCCTCCAGAAGGGTGTAGGGAGTAGAAAGTTGACCATTGGGCCCAATATGTGCCCACAGGTAGCACTGATGAGACAGAATTGCTTAATTCCTGGAGAATTTACCCTTAAGTTGGAAAAGGCAGTGGTCCCCAACCTTGGGCCTCCAGATGTTCTTGGAATGCAACTCCCAGAAGCCGTCACCACCACCTCTGCTGGCCAGGATTTCTGGGAGTTGAAGTCCAAGAACATCTGGAAGCCCAAGGTTGGGAACCACTGGTATAAGGCACCCAATCATTCTGGAATCTGAAGGTTGTGCTGGAGAAACAAAAGGACCGTCCCAAGTTCTGCTTAAAATATTTAATGATCACTAAACATTTGATTTTTTGGGGGTATTTGGTTCCCAAGTTCATTTCTCAATTTACTGCTTATAACACAGCATGAATGAACGGGGTCTTCTGGTGACAGTGATGCCCCCAAGCAATCAGAACCACTTTCTGGTTAGGGACAGGTGGAGACCACTGGGCTGGTAGTTAAAATGCATGCAGAAACATGACATGATATCAGGTGACTCTCACGCATAATGCAAGATGTAGCTCTTGTATCTGCATGGTTAGGTGGGCATATTAACTCCTGTTCTTGGGTAAACCCGATATAAGAGATGACCAGGCCTAATGACTTTGTTTTTACATAGCAGTATGTATGTAGAGATGGATCGGGGTCCCCAACCCCATATCCTTGAGTGGCTGGGCTTCTTCCCATTTGCAAGCAAAGGGCATTTTTTTCAGAGCATAGACCAGTTAAGATTTTAGGCAAGATGCATAGCGCTGATTTGGAGACAGGAGACATTCCGGAGGGGAGATAAAGGGGGGCGGACTTTAGGGAATTAGGCTCTTTGCTTCTCTGCCATAAGGCAAACAGCCTCGTAGATGAGTGATCCCTTAAATGTCCTTGTCTGACCGTATTCCTGAAATCCACCAAGAAAAGTAGCTCCTAGGTCAATTTACCACTTTTTGTTTTCCCTTAGTTTTGTGAGCTTCTGCCAAATATTTAATACGAATCTTGCATGTGTTTCTTGTTAAATCCTCACGAGGTCAAATCCATGGTTCTTCCTTGCTCTTCTCCATGATGGCCTTCTAAGAATAATTAAGAATGGACAGAATGATCTTCAATAATTTTCTTCCCTTTAAGCCCGAGGTGGCTCATGTTTCTTACCTTCCCTTGTGATTTCTGCATTATGTACTTGTACAATAATTCTAGCTCTCTCCCAGATCTTTCTGGATCCAGGTGCTCAAAATCGTACACCGTGCTCTAAACTAGAGATGGGGATGAATATAAAAACGGATCGGCTTTTTCAATGAAAATAGCTGATGCGTAGTTTTGTGAGCTTCTGCCAAATATTTAATACGAATCTTGCATGTGTTTCTTGTTAAATCCTCACGAGGTCAAATCCATGGTTCTTCCTTGCTCTTCTCCATGATGGCCTTCTAAGAATAATTATAGAATGGACAGAATGGTCTTCAGTAATTTTCTTCCCTTTAATGAGGTGACTCATGTTTCTTACCTTCCCTTGTAATTTCTGCATTATGTACTTGTACAATAATTCTAGCTCTCTCCCAGATCTTTCTAGATCCAGGTGCTCAAAATCGTACACCGTGCTCTAAACTAGAGATGGGGATGAATATAAAAACGGATCGGCTTTTTCGATGAAAATAGCCAATTCGTTAAATATTCGTCCCTTCATATTAGTGGGTTCCGGAGACTCTCGTGAATATGAAGGGACGAATATTTACCCGTTTTTATTCATCCTTCGTATTACCAAAACAAACAAACAAACAAACAAACCCCCAGAACATCCAATCTGCCTACTAATAGGCAAGATGGTGAGTCGTCCCCATCTTTACTCTAAACCAGTGACTCCCAGCCTTGGGTTACCAAGGGATTCTTGGACTGCAATTTCCGGAAGTCTTCACCGCCAGCTGTGGGCTGGCTGGGGTTTCTGAGAATTGCAGTCCAAGAAAACCAGGGTTACCCAAGGTTAAGAAACAATCCTCTAAAGAAAGCTTTAACAATTCTAAATAAAGTTGGATCTTCGTTTCTTCCCATACTGGATTTATATGCGAACATGGTGTTGGCTTCATGTGCCGCAGCATCCTGTGGTTGGCTTCTGTTCAATATTTCATCTGACATCAGATCACATCTTTTAAGAAATACTGTCTTGGTTACATATTTTACTCATAAATTACAGATTTTAATCCTCTTGTCCTTTGAAGAATTAGGATTGAGGTCAATGAAAACAATGTGTCACGAAATATTTACAGTTGTAGAAGGGGTAACCATGTTAGTCTGTGCAAGCATTATAGGTGAAAGTAAAGTAGAAATAAAAAGTAAAATAAGACAAAAATGTGGTGGCACTTTTAAAACTAACCTTTAGATTTTTTTTTGATGTGAGCTTTCGTGGACAAGCCCATTTGTCTGATGAAGTGGACGTGTCCATGAAAGCTCATATCAATTTTTTTTAAAAAAAGTCTTCTTAAAAATGTTTTATTTTTCTTTTATTTTCACCTAAAATATTCACAGACCATTGAAAGAATAAAGATTTCCTATCATTTTTGAGAGGTATTTGTTGTTTTTTTTAAGATTGAACTCTTGTGAGAAGATATATCCTATCATTTTTTAGAGGTATTTTTTTTAAGATTGAACTCTTGTGAGAAGCAGAGTTTGGAAAAAAGTTACTTTTTTTGACTGTAATTCCAAGTTATTCCCCCCAGCTAGTAGCAGTTATGCCAAGTTGTAGTGCGGAAAATAAACTTTTATAAACTAGGCAGAAGAGATTTTCAGAGGCACTGAGAAATAACAGTAGTTACATACTGTATTTGCTCAGGTGGTGACAGCTGTTTCACAGCTGCATGGAAGGAGACGAAAAGTAATTTGTGGATAGCATGTATGAAAACCTACTTTTTTCACCTTTTTTCTCATTTGTTACAGAATGGTAACTGAGGCCGAAAACCTCCAGGAGGCTTTCTGACTTCATCTCCCCATGTGTAAAGTATGCTGAGAACCTTTCCAGTGGTGTAAGTATAGCATCACCGATTTTCCCCTGTGCGTATTCGAAAGTTTCAATACATGCAGTCCCGTGAGCTGTCAAACAGACGTTGACCTGGGGACCTCTCCTTAGCATGTTGCTATTTGCTAGACTTGCCTTCAACGTGATGCTGATTCTTTCAGATCAGCTTTACACGGAGGTGCTAGGTGGCTGTTAATTTTGCAGGATTTGCAGGGGTGCAAATTCGTCTGTGGCGAATTTGCTTAATTTTAATTGTTCCACACTCTACTGCCAGTTTCCATAGAGCTTTTAACAGTGTGTTTTAAGGAGGCTTCTGATTTTGAGATGGAGCCCAAAATCTTTGTGAATAATATTCCAATTTTATAGATGGCTTGAACAAATGGACGTTATCTGCCTTGATTTGGAAGGGATTTGAATGCGGATTCAGGTATTGTAAGGCTAATGAACACATGTGTGTAGGTATCCTCCCCCCCACCCCTTCCATCTTACTGGACTCTAAACCATATGTAGTACAGGAATGCACATAAAACAGATTTCCACATGGTTTAGTTTACAAGGCCCATAAGTCCCTGCCAATACGGCTATGGATGATGGATTAGGGTTGCTGAAGTCCCAGAAATGCAAAGATCTGCCTTGTGATACGGTAGCACTCTATTTGAGGTATATTGAATTTTGTCCCGGCTTGACGTTCTTGCTAACCTGGACTTTAAAAAGATGCTGCGTGAAACGGATAATGTCTTGTAGATCGTGGATGGCAAAACACTTGGCCTTGCAGATGTTTTTCCATTTTAGTCAGCCTTGCCCTAAACAGAGAGTTGGAGGAACAGGGGTTGTAATGCATCATAGTGCATATACTGGGTGGATACTGGGTCCCTGTAGGCAATTAGGGTGTTAGTGAGCATTCCATAACATCACTGTGTTTTGGTGTTTGTAGATGACTGGCAGTGAATTTTTATTTTATTTTTCAGCATTGTAATGTTTGAAGTAGTAATTATGGCAGCCACCTGATTAAAGACGCTTTGATTAAATCCATCATATGCAGTTTAGTCAATTTAATTGATCTGGCATCAATTACATTTGCATATGGGTAAAAACAATATTTATGAAGCGCGAGCATAATTTTCGTTGATGAATGGATGCTTGGATGTGTTGCAGAAGCATTGTCTTGGGGGACTGGCCCTCCAACTGTGACCCTCCAAAAGCCTTTGGCTAGCAGTGCATGACCGCACTAGCTCGCATAGCTAATAAGGGATTGTGGGAATGGTAGCCTAATAATGGTCAGAATCCTATCGCCAGTTTATGCCTGCGTAGGAGAAACTGTGTAATGGCAAAATGCCACTCATTAACAAAGTGCTGTTTGTATTCCTGGTTGTGTACCTGATTATGTAGTTGGACACATGGGTAGGAGAGTGATGGGACTCTGTTAACAAGGGGCAATTTGGTGCTGAGACTTGATTTCTCAGGTGTAAATCAGTAGTATGTTACTGGTGCATATGTTCAGGGCTGCTGTTGCTCACCTCTCTCCTAGAGGCATTGCTCCCCTCCATGAGAAAAAGGGAGCATACCTCTTTTGTCACCTTCAGTTTTTGTGAGTTTAATTGGAGGTACTGGTAATTACATGTTGCAGGCGTAGCCGTAACTCAGAGTAGTTTGTGATTAGGTTGTTTCTGGGAGGATTTCTCCATGCACTGGATGTGTCTGTCAACGACCTAAGAGGAATGTAATTACTGAGCAAATGGAAACATCATCTCAAACCATGATCCTGACCATTGTCATCCTCCCCATAAAATAGCCATACTGGTTGGTGATTCTGGGAGTCATAGTTAAAAACGGTATTGTACAGGTTCTTATTTCAAATGTCCCAGATTGAAGAGCATGAGCCATGAGAAATGATAGCTAAAGATCCATCAACCATGATGGGTCATGATGCATTTGAATTGGCAATCCATGGTTTATGATAAGCCAGCATCAGGATGAAAATCCATGGTGTAATGTGGTTTAAACCGTAGCAACTGGCTAGGTTGTCAGGTCTGTACAGACAAGCCACAATCAACGGTGGAAGCTTTACACACACAGACACACCAAGATTGTGCACTGTAGAAATGTGCGTGTTGTGTGAGAATCCAGTACAGAATGACAGGTATCAGTATTGGCTTATTGAGCAGATATAATACCAAATCTAGCAAGAAACTCTGAGCTGTGATTTGCTCTTTACACCTTTTTGGAAGCTCTTCATTTAGTACAAACCATAGTTTGCTGTGATAGCTGACTGAGATCTCCATCTGGATTGATAATTTGCTCTCCGTACTTGGAGCTGTGCTTGCATTAGGAAGCTGAAGGTCTTGAGGACACTCACAAGAATAATGTGTTGCTGTTCCTTTCTTGGCCTGGGTTGGGTAAGTCGTGCAGCAGCGAGCATTTGATTATGCTGGATTTATTTTCATATGTCTTGGGCTGTTCTTATTAACTGTCATCACTTTGATCGAAAGCATGCGGCGGGTTTCTGCATTTGTCGCGCCCCACTTTGCATTCCTAAACAGAAGCGGTGGAGTCGAAGCTGTGTGGATCGTGAATGTTCTGCTTTGAACAGTTTCAGCTCGGATGTTGCTGGGGGCTCAGCAGTTGCGAGACGAGGCCGCTGTAGCGTAGATCAGAAGGAAGGCGAGGAACCAAAGGTAATACGAGGTGTGACGGAGGTGGATAGGCTGATAGGTAGATATCCAAAGGCTTCCGTCTCGGAAGGACCCCTAAGGTTGTGGGGTGTCCACTCCACAGTCACTGGTTTAAATGTCCCAGATTTCTCCAAGATTTGAGGCAAATGCTAAATTTGTACGAACGCAACATTGCCGTGCTAGATCAGATCAGATCAAAGGCTGGTCTTTTACCGCTTTCTCTTCAGACAGAAATTCTTGAGTGCAATTGTTTTTCTCTGTCTCGTAGCGATTACTGAGATGCATGCCAACTTCTGAGATTGAAGAGTTGACATCTCAACCAGTACCCATAGTAGCCCTGACCTACATGAATGGTTCTAATCTAGAACGTATAAAAAGCTGAAAAGTAGACTATCAGTGTGTTGGTTCCAGATATAGCCATACTTCAAGTAGACTAATTGAAACCAGTGGTCAGGATCCTGTTGGGATTTTACTCCCGAGTAAGTGAAATTGTGCAAGTGAATTGTAGCAGACTAAGAAGGTGCCAGTTGTATGTCTAGTTGTGTGACAGGCATGAGACCAAGCATGAAATTAGGTATGTGGCCGACAACTGTGTGCTCACATAGTTTATTCTAGAATAAATTCCCAGTGGGATGCTGGCCAGCGGGACTTAAGCTACCCACGACTAACTTATGCCCCATTGATTTCAATGGGTCTACTCTAAGTACATCTTAGTCTAGAAATCTAGTTCTGGTTTATTGTTTTTGCATTTTTTTTACCCCGGTTTTCAGCAGGAAAAGTCACACAGATGGCCTTAAATAAGGTCCGTCTGTCAGAAGACGGATCCTGTCCACAGGCTTGTAGTCCATATGGTGGTACTGGAGGAAGGAGTCAGGAGGGGAAAAGGGGAAATGAAAAGTTATGAAGCAGTTCTTAAAGTTAGGTCCTTTTTATCATGACCCGCTTGAATGGAGACCTTTAGGGAGAGAAGGAACAGGATAGACCTGATCCCCATTTTTTTGTTTTGTTTTTTTTGCCCTTGCAGAACTTCCACCTTATGACAAAAATGCCGAAATCTTCAGCCATTGTGACCAGATTTACAGAGGAGTTCTGGGTGTTATGGCTCTCCATAAGATGGTCATTCTGGTTGGGGATTCTGGGAGTTGTAGTTCTCATTTCCAAGTTCTCATTTCAAATGTCCCAGATTGAAGAGCATGAGAAATCATGGCTAAAGACCATGTATGTCGCAATGCATTGGAATTGGCAAACCATGGTTTACGATCATCCGGCATCAGGATGAAAAATCATGATGTGATGTGGGTTTTCGAACCACTGGTTATTTATTTATTTATTTATTTATTTATTTATTGGACTTATATACCGCCCCATAGTGCTACAAGCACCCTCTCCCAAAGATTAAGCACTGTAGAAATGTGAGTGTCGTGGAAGAATCCAACAGGCATCAATATAGGTTTGTTGAGCGGAAGGAATAACTGCTTCCAAGTTGGCCATTCTGGTTGGGGATTCTGGGAGTTGGAGTTGAAAATTATATTTTTCAAATTCTTATTCCGGGGCCCTGTAATGAAGAGCCTGAGCTGAGAGAAATGATACAGGCATGGGGCTGATATTAAAAACCTAGGCCTCTTTCTATGGCTTATATTTTCTACCAGAGGGAGTCGTATTTCAGTTTTTGTAACTCAGTAAGGAAATTGACTCTTTGAAGAATGGAATGTCTCATATTCTCTCTCTCTCTCTCTTTCTCTCTCTCTCAAAGCCATGCATTGCTTTCTTTTTTGGGGGGGACACTATGTCCAGTGAAGAGGGAACAGGGCATGCACCCTTTCGTAAGAAGCATATTAAACTAACACCGTTAAAGGAGCTGTGGAGAATTATAAGGTGTTCAAACATGATTTAATGATCAGTTGTTAATGGGAGTATGTGTCCCTTAATTAATGAGGAGGATCACATTATTCCTTAATGCCTAGCTGCAGAGTGGCCTCCTAAGCAGCGGGGACTTCTATGTGGTTTGCGAGGGAGTTCTCTGTAAGATTCTCCTGGTACAGACAGGTCGTGCTTTTCTGGATAATTTGTTCTCAGTGGCCAACAAATTCAGTTTGCCACATTTTATGGACTGCAGCCCTCTCTGCAACTAGCTGCAGCCTCCTAAGCAGCGGGGACTTCGATGTGGTTTGCCGAGGGAGTTCTCTGTAAGATTGTCCTGGTATAGACAGGTCGTGCTTTTCTGGATAATTTGTTCTCAGTGGCCAACCCAACAAGTTTGCCACATTTTATGGACTGCAGCCCTCTCTGCAAGAAGAGGTGGGTAACGCTCCACGAAAACTTCTGCCACTTAAGT